TGATAATTGTCGGTTGGTTCAAAATGTCATCGAAACAGTACTGAGAATGATCTTGATCGATCAAGATGTTCAAGGAGCACAAGAGTAAGCTTTTATCGCTCCCTGACTGTCCGAGGTTACAACTAACATCCCCGTTTAGCTATGTGAAAGATACCATCTCAGATCTTCTTCAAAACAAAATCGACATGTCAAAACTTGTCATCACCAAAGCCCTCGCAAAAGCCGATTATACCGCCAAACAAGCTCATGTAGAACTAGCTGAGCGTATGAAGAAACGAGATGCAGGATCAGCACCTACATTAGGTGACCGTGTTGCCTATGTCATCATCAAAGGATCTGCTGGAGCCAAGAATTTCGAAAGATCCGAGGATCCCATTTTCGTATTAGAAAACAACGTCCCTATCGACACAAAATATTACCTCGATAACCAACTTGCCAAACCTTTAGGCAGAATCTTCGAACCTATCCTCGGAGAAACGAAAGCCAATTCCCTCTTAGCAGGTGCACATACCCGTGCTATATCTGTCGCAGCTCCTACTATTGGTGGTCTCATGAAATTCGCAAAGAAAACATCAACATGCATGTCCTGCAAAAAACCCCTCGTGAAAGCCCACGAGAAAGATGGTGCAGTATGTACAGATTGTGCTCCTAGATTTGGGGAAATGTATCAAAAACAACTCAATAAAGTATCAGATCTAGAAGTCAGATTTGGGAGGTTATGGACACAGTGTCAGAGGTGTCAGGGAAGTATGCATTGTGAAGTTATTTGTAGTAGTAAGGATTGTCCAATTTTCTACATGAGAATGAAGGCGAAGAAGGATGTCGAGGATGCTGGGAAGGAGTTGGAGAGGTTTGATTTTGATCAGTCGGCTTGGTGATTTGAAGAGCGGGTTTAGATGATGGATGGGCGGTAAACTGAAATATCAAGGTATTGCAGGGTGTTTTTGGGCGTTTAAGCTAGCCATGTATGAGAATATGGATCTTGGACGGAGCTTGATGGGTAATCTATGTATTAATGACTGCCCCTTTTTCACGTATATCAAGCTACAAGAAATGAAGGAGCCGAAACGGATCGGAATGAAATTCATACGGTACTACGTATTTGCATAATTAGGTGTGTCTTACTCAAGCGAGCTCTGAACTGGATAATCCGTGAGGTAAAAATGCTGCCTCGAACGTTTCGCAAACCCTCAAACCGGATTGAAGCACAATCTATTCATTAAGCAAGAGCTGGATTGACGGTGGTGATACAACAAGTCGTGTTGACTGCAATGGCCAAAAGATGCGGAGAGGGGAAGTGAGTCAACCTGTTTGTTGGTATATCAAAGAATAAATCTCATCTTCTATCAGTAGGTTTCGATCAATGTTCGAGTGAAATGATTTGGTCGTTTGCATGCGTGAACGGAAGTACCTGGGTATCTATGCTGATGAGGAGAAATTTGAGGGCATTGATCTCCAAGCCATCTAGGTATCTTACTTTGACTCTCCTTGGTTCGCGAGACGCAGAACCCCTCGCTGTTCGAATAGGGGGTGGGAGATGCATTGATGGATAAGGCTTTGTATCGTTTTGCTGATGGTGGATGGCAAATGATTATGAGTGGATTTGCTGATGGTAGTAGGGGGTTGTGATGTGGAGTTCGAAGTTTGTGGAGGGGGGAAGGGGTGGAGTTGGGGAATCTTGTATGGATATGTGTATATGTATACAGATTTGTTATTCTCGGATTTTGAGAACTGAGAAAGTGAGAACTGAGAGTGGTGATGGGTGAGAAGTGAGTGATGAGGGGTGAGTCAATTGAGTGAGAGGCGAGTATATAAGATAGGCAGCAGATCTGCTTGGGAGGAGTAAAGGCGCGGCAAGCATATATTCTAGCTAGCATGAGTTTGCTGTAAGAGAATGGGATTGTGTGGCAAGGAGAGAGGGTGGATCGAGCGGGAGAGGAGGTATTTTGAAAGTTATCGGGAAGGGGCGGGATGGTAGGGGTTTGTAGACAGTTAGCTAATATATATGATTATTGTCGATATCCTCATCACTGCCAATCTCTATTGACTCTGTGATTGCCTATATCCATATCCATATCTACATCCTCCACCCCCCTCCATAAACAAATCCATCGCTTAACCCTAACTTCGAGAAACAGAACAGCAGAAACGAAACGAAGCGAAGATTAATTATATCATATCGTATCGTATCATATCATGTCACCTTACATCATCTCTTCTGGTATCTATTGTTCCTTCTCCTCACACATAAATACAGTAGGTATACGCATCTCGACTTCAATCTCAAAAACGAGAATTCAAGAACGGTAAAGTCTTGACTAGGCTGGTTGGAATCGCATAGATCTCAATATATTCATTCACTCATAGATAGAACAATATAGATAGCAGTACCTAGATATGTATCAAGACTTCGCATTTCATTTCAATCCCTTCTGATTCCCATCTTCAGCATCACTATTTAGACATCTATCTAACCAGCTCCCTGCCTACCCTCTCCCCCTCTCTCTCTAAACCCCAAACAAATCCATAATATCAATAAATATACCTCTATATATAACCCCAATAACTACTAACCATCTTCTCACATCCCATACATTCTTCACATACAACCTCAACCCCAATCCCAATCCCTCTACTCACCCACTCACCCCAACCCCAAACCTCTCATACAATCCTCAACAATTCTCGCCTTTCCCTTGTCCCTTGTCCCTTGTTCCTATCCCTCTACCTTAAACTTCAAACTCTCTCAATCCCAAATCAAAATAAACCTCCATTTCCATTTCCATTTCCATTTCCAAATCAAATCAAATCAGTCCATTCCATCCCATCCCCAACTCACCCCCCATCTCCTCACCCCCAACCCCAACTCCAACCCCAACCCAATCAAACGATCGACACTAATTTTAGTAACTTCCCCCCACCCCAACACAATAACATTTTATTCATCTCATCTCCTAAATAACCCCAACCCCAAACCCAAACCTAAACATAAACTCCCACGCTACCACACCGTAGAATGTAATTAAATTCACCAATTCTAGGGCTGAAAACTTTATTTCGCAAACTCAATGTTTCCGACCTACACCTCACATACACCTATCTAACTTATGAAAGTTTATATTCCGAGAGTCCTTTTAAGTTTGTGCGTGCGTACGCGCACTGTACTTTTAGTAAACTTTCCAGAATGTCTATTTTAATTATTTTAATTAGGTATTACGAAAGATGCCTACGACATTAAATGCATAATTTATACACTTCCGCAAAGGGAAAAATGAAAGTCATGTGATGTGGTGTGATGTGATATGATATGATATGATTGATATAATATGATATAATCTGACAAAGTGAAGTAGAGTGAATTAATTAACAAAGTAAATAATTGTAAATTTTGGGGGGTTCAGAATAGACACAAAAATGAAGGGTATTCATGCTCTCTGCCAAACTCCAAAAATCAGTCCTGGTATTTAGTGAATAACATGCGAATCCATCCCACGCCATCCCATCTTTATTTGGTCCCCGTCTATATCGGTCATCTCTGCATATTACAACCTCCACCTCGACTTTTTTTTTCATCAAAATCCCCCGCACTTGATTCCAAGTCCCATCCCTCAACCATCCCTTAATTTTTGACCCTATCCACTTGTCCCTTGACCCAACTCAGCTTATCCTTCCACTTTCCTTCACCCCTCTCCTCTCTCTCCAGCTCCCCCATCTCCTCATATCCCCTTGTTCCCCTCTTTTCCTTTGCCGAGAAAGGATTAGACCATCTTGCCGAACCCAGATGCCCAAGCGCTCCTCCAAAGCTAGCTCTTGCCATCGCCTTTTGACTTTCCAAAGTATCTGTTTCGCTCAAGAAACTCGTGGGCCTTAATGAACTCGGTGTAATCTTCCTCGAATTATCTCTCGTCAAATCTCCAGGCGATTGCGGATTAATTTTTGAAAGTCTATTAGTATCGTCGCCCCATGTATCGAATTCAAAATTCGGTAATTGGATCGATGAAAAGGAGGTATCCATATTCAAGTTCGGTTCCGGATCCGCAAAAGGATTACGATGATATTTCATGTTGGCATAATAACTCAATATTCCCTGACTTCCATCCCCACTCTCGATATCGTTTTCCTCTGAATCCTGAATGAGAGACATTCTTCTTTGCGGCCTAACTCCCAACCCCTGAGGCTGTTCACTATCAGTGGTTTCCAATGAATGGATCGATACTCCATCCCCCCAATCCAAGCTCATAGTCGAAGGCGCTCTTATAGTCGATGCTCCTTCTCCTGTTTCCTTTTCGTATCTTTCCATGTCCCTCACGGTTCCTGCCGTTGAGACCGAAGAATTTCTGATTAATGCGGGACGAGGTACCTGAGGAAAAATCGAGTTTCGAATCCCATTCCCCCTAATGCCAGAAAATACTGAGTTTCGGATTCCATTTCCCCTGATGCTAGGAAATACTGAGTTTCGAATTCCACTCCCCTTAGCCCTAGGTATCACACCAGCCCAAGCTTCCATTCCCGGATTCGATTTCTCTCCTATGTCTTTCAACACATCACCTCTCTTCCTTTGCCTTAGAATTCTTCTCCTAACCAAGAATGCCATAACAGCTAGTACCAATAAACTGACAATCACTGTAACACTAACTGTTACTGCCAGAGCCGAGGATGTATGCTGATGTTCTTTCGTCGTGTCTTGATCATTTGAAAGCAGGGATATCGTAGGGTTGTGTGCAGTCCAAGCGGTTGCGTTCAACATGCTTGTTGTTGTACTTGTTATTGTTGTCTCAGGACTTGACCTTGAGGATGAAGCTGGAGATGATGCGGGTGCATATGTTGAAGTGATAGATGTACTACTGGGTTCAGAGGAAGAAGCTGGCGTTGAAATAGAAAGCGTTGATGAAGAGCTAACAGATGCGGCGGTTTGTAATATTAGTGTAGCAGTAGGTGTTGCGCTCGCTGTTGTAATGCCCGTTGATGCTTCTGTCGTCATTGTCGCTGTCTATGATATTTCATGAGTCAATGGCACTATAAAAGGTGATTTAAAACTTACAGTACTTGTCGAATCACCAGTACTTGTGGATTGCAGTGCTGGCTTTGGGTCCTTTGGGGGCTTGGAGGACCGGAGGAGTTTGAATAGAAGGTTCGTCATCATGTCCATCTTCATCTCTCTTATTTGCCCAAACCAACTCAAAATCCTCTTCATATACACCCGCATCTACCAAATCCCCCACTAGCCCTCTTGAATTATGATTGATCATTTTGCAGAAAGATTGTAACCTCAACTTGGTTAGATTCGATTAAGAGGTGAAGAAAACTTAGATCAAGAAAAGACGGTCTTTGAGTTCGTTAAGGTATAATAGCCAAGAATGAGTGTGTGAACAGAAGTACTGAAAGACTGATGTAAGGAAGGATGTCAGCGTGCTGGTAAAGACGACAGCTCAAATCTAGCAAGTATAGGTAAGTTTGACAAGTAGACACACAGTTCAAGCCAAGGCTACCAATGCCTATGTACTTATATCTCGTAGCAAGAAGGTGGAACCATGAAACTCCCCTCAAAAAACACTCGGTCAATGGTTCACCACGAGAATACCCGTGCCTAACAAATGAAAGACAGATGAAATTATTTTGAGATAAGTAGTGAAAAGATCAGCAAAATTATCAGATACCCATTGTCAATTATTCCTTCTGGTCACTTAACCTGACGTGTTGTAGGAAACTTCTTGCAACGAGTATTGCAGGAACTACTTAGATCCGAATAGCTGTATTATACATACTAAAACATTTTCAATCAATATTTGGAGATGAAGAGATTGGTAGAAACATGGAACTGGAACTTGGGGATATGATGGTCATAGCCCAATAAAGTGAAACAGAAGTAAGGTTTCCTAGTTCCACTCCATTGTCCGTGCGAATTGTGGATTTTGGAGAACTTTCCTCTTGTAATGAATGCCTTGTCAGGTTATTGATTGGTTTAGAGTTTTAGTAGAAGAAGGTCTGTGGGTGACGAGAGTTTCCTCAATGTCGCAGATAACATTTGTGGTGAAGAATAGTGCGTGGATTGAGTTATGAACCTGTGATGATCGTCGAATCTTCGCCTTATGGGTGGACTAAAAATCCCTAAGGATCCCTTCATGCAACAATGACATTGCATGTCGGCGGGCTGAGTTCATCATGAAGGGATCCGATGAACGTGACGTGGAGGTGAATAGATGGATAGAGTTCATGCGCGACAGACTGTTGTCAATTCAATTTTCCGAATATCTCAAGTCTGCTCACCGGGTGGTAACGTGTAACTGTATTGTGTAGCAAAATGAGGAGGAGTAGAGCTGAAATAAATGACGCGATCCTTAGAGACCATTTCATATTACTCCGACCAGATATTGAGTGGACGTAGCCCAATCTTCCCATGTATTTTCCGCAAATGAATTCAAACCTCCGAGATCTGATAGATCTACACCAATGCAGCATCATACCTGTTGCACCTTGAACGCCTTGCCCCGTCCAGCTTAGATTCATACAATACCCGTTCCGCCTAGAAAGTATATTCACACTACCCTTCATTTCTTCTTCTCGTCTACCACTTTCTCGTCAATCTTTTTGACCTCTTCCATCTTCTTCTCTCCTCTATTCCATACTTCCCATATTTGTTCCATAATCAGATCGCCATACCCTTTGCCTGCTTCCAGAGCTTCCTTCTCCTTTTGGTCTCTTTTTTCTTTCCAATCTTTCCCTTCGCCACCTAGCCATATTTTTTCCAAAACACCTTCTTTCTCCTCTGCCTGCACCTTTCCAGAAGTTGGTTGGCCAGCGCTTCTCTTTTCTAATACTTCAAGTACACTCTTGCCCTTTGTACCTTCGTCCTGCGATTTAAAAGTCTGCCCCAGAAACTTTCCACTCTCCTCCATTCTTTTCTTTTCTTGTGCTTCTCGCACTCTTCTCTGAGTTTCTTTTGCCTTTTCCGGTAATTCCGTAGTTGAAAAAGACAATACACGACTTTGTATGCGGGTCATCATTGAGACACCGGTATATTCGTAGGCTAAGTGATTACCACCAATAAATGTGGTGGCCATAAGAGCGAAAGTATAGGCATCCATTTTGCGGGGTGGGATAACTGTATGGGGCAAAAAGGTTAGTTTGATACTGAGACTTCGGAATTAATTAGTTGCATTTAGATAGGGAATTGTGAAATGCACAATGTCAGACATCACAATTTAGAATTCCAATTCTAATTCATGAGGATCGAGAAGAGACTTACGCATGACGATTGGACAAACGATGAGGGCTGCGAGAGATGCATTATGGAGGAGAGGGGTAGTTCTTGGATTGGTAGGATCGGGTTGAGTAAATTGAGATGGTTGAGTTGTAGACATCTTGATATTTGAGATATGAATTGATTGTGATTTGCTGGTAGGTTGAGTGTCGTGTCGTATTAAGAAGATGTCGATTCTAATAACACACAATTGAAAGAATACGATGAACCGCAAATTCGCAATGGATACAGGAATAATGACGCTCTAGTTCTAGATAATTTTTGAGGAACCGGAATTAGTGTTATTCCGACAATGATAAGCTCCAGCTACTCGAGGGAGGAGTCGAGTAAACGATGTTTTGCCACAAGTTTTTGCCACAAGTTTTTGCCACAAGTTTTTGCCACAAGTTTTTGTCACAAGTTTGCTGTCGCAAGTTTCCTTTGATCTCGATCTTAATTATCAGATTTAAATGTTATCTTTCCTTTACAATTGTGGTCAATCAAATTAATAAGTATAGCAAGAATGCATGATTGAACAATAGAAACATTGATTATACTCGAGTGTACAGAGAACTCTCAGTTATCAAGACTTGTGGGATTTTGGGAATATATTTTGACTTTACGCAATCACAGACATCTAAATACGATAAGGCACTTTGCCAGAGTGGTTAATGGGTAGCACTCGAATTTCTGTAGCCTCTACAGAATATAAGATATGCTATGTCTTCGGACGCGCAGGTTCAAATCCTGCAGGTGTCGTTTTGTCTCTCATATTTGCTCATTATCAATTCAATTTTTGGTCATTCTTCAATATCTATTTTCTTTTTTATTTTCCTTTCTTCTTCTCTTCCCTCATTTGTTGTGTTTTTGGAGTCGTAAAGAAAAAGAACATGGTAAGATCTTGACTGTCCAGTAAATGGCCCGTTCGTCGATTTAGTTCTCAGCTCCACATTACTTTTTATTTCAACGCTTGGGAAGGAAGTACTGGGTTGACTCTAAAGTCTTCGAGACATTGGAGTAAATACTAAAGAATCATTCTCTATCTTTCCGTTATCCAACATACCTATCTTCAGACCCGAGCGTCAAATACTTTCCTGGCCCTATATAAATGGAGCGGGGATCAATATGAGCTTCACTTACCTGTCAGCGTTTTTGGCGTCGAAATGAAGCGAGAAGAAGTGAATTCAACTATGGCGCAGGTTGATGGCGGCGACATCAATGTTCAACGACTTACCTATGTTTCTGATAATAGCAGAAGGTCAACTTTGTGGGATATAATATTTTGTTAAAGATTTCCCAACAAAAGCCGAATCATACCTCTAAGTTTTTTTTTAAGTTTTTTTTTCTCATTTGCAATTTTCGTCATTGTATTCTTCTTTCATCACTGCTTGCTCTGCAATCTTGTTCGCCCATTTTTCATAAAGCTTCTTAATATTATCTGGCAATCTAGCTGTTGTTTTCGAGATTACAGTCTCCATGTTCACCGTCTTATCAGAGCTCCAATTAACTGCTTAGAGCGTAGTAATGCTCTTGTACTTCTTTGGACCATGTTATAAGGATTAATTTATGAACCTACAGACAAATCAGTTAGAAATGTTCCGCTCTACATACTGTTCGTGTCCCGTCGCCCCACCAGCTGTAAAGCTCAGGGCAGTTAATGTTATCTGCGTCAGATCAGTGGGTTTAAATGGGGCGATTGAACGTGGAGTACTCGAATACTTGCATGCAAGTTGGAGGTCCTACATTCTCTCTGGGGCTTCTTTCTTTCTTTCTGTTGGGAAAAGGAAGGTGTACAAGTAGGTCCGATATATGGATGAACTCGTTCTTTTATAGGTGTCACTGTTGTTATGTATTCACGTGTAAAGGAATCCTTCGCAAGCCTTCCATCGCCTGATGTCTTAGACAAGATACCATGTGCTTTGGGATGTAGCCTCTAGTTTGGCTCCAAGCTTTCTTAAGTTTCTTATTGTTTAGTTTTATTTTCATTAATTTGTGTTATCTCTCCCAAATATGTCATCATATTTGTATTATTTCGACAGTAACCGTCTTTTGTCTATGGAGTACATAATTATGCCCAAAGCTTGCTGCTGCAATTTAAGTCCATGATGTCATCTTTCTTCAAGTAATCCCAATTCTTCCATGTCAAATATTAAGAAGGTTTTTAGTGGATAAACCAATATTCGTTTATGCTTTATACTTATTTAACATTTCAAGCCTGGTATACCTCCAGCAAAAGAAAAGTCGGAAAGTTACTCTAACATAAATTTCAATGGCACGCAACCATAAATCCTTTTCATCATAGGAATTTTGATATTCACATATATCGCTTGATAATTGAGTTTCGTTATCATTTAAAGTATTACAACTTTATTTGTATGAATCTGGCTTCTTTGTTTTTACGGTTATGATTGCTCAACTCAAAAGCAGATTGATCATTTATACTGGTACTTTTTAACTTTACAACAACTAAACTTTTGAGAATCGATAGAATTACTTTCAAGGCATCTTCAACCTGTGCTGTCGTCACACACTATCTATCTATTGTCTCAATTGGTCATATATGCCTTTGGTGTCATGTCTTGTTCTGATAATTGAGATGATCTTGTGCGTTCCCATATTCAACACCACTTGGTTTACATCTTTACTAAATATGTCTATGAGTGCATAGATACACAAACTCTTTAATGTTACTATACTATCCCGCTCTCCAGCAATATCCAGTAGCCCTGGTGAGCCGTAAAGTTTAGAACCTCAGTTGATCCTTATTATTAATTTCTGTCAAGTACTCAGCATGCGAAAAGAAGCAGTGTGTAGATAGTTCCATACGTCAAGCTTGACTTTTGTATCTTGTATATACTTTCATATCTAAAATCTCTCTACGCTACCTGGCTATACAAAATCTTTCTGGAGTGGATCAGGCACGAGGAAAAATGCACAGATCCTGATGTGTATGTTTGACAGGCAGAGTAGCATGAATCCTATGGATGACAATACCGGCTGCCACATCAGGCAGTACCCTTCGAGAAACTTCAAAGATTAGAGTGAAGTCAACGTTTGACGAGGACCCTTTCGGGTTGGTCCGAAGGTAGATATCCGCAAGTCTAGTTTCAAGTGCCTACTGTAGTGCAGGACCAAAGACTTTAGTTATATAACGACATATCCTGGTGTTATATCAGATTAAGCCTCTTTAAATCCTTACGACCATACTGTATTCCAAAAAGAAATAGATCCGTTGAAACTCAAGGTTCTCGTGATGTTACAATCAACCACAATGAAAAGACCAGAGAAGTAGCAATTCCTGCAGGACGATACGCGCATCAATAACTCCGAAAGCACAGTTTAGTACATCACAAATCCCATCAATCCATGTTATACTTCCTAATTTATGAATCTTCTTGATTCTTGCAAATCGCATAGCCATGGATTCGATGAATTCCGACTTGCGAATCGTTATTTACTAATACTTCCAACAACTATTCACATCCAACTACTTACTACCGGTCAATACATTCGAGCCCATGGAAAATCATTCCTTTCATTCCCAGAATTCCACATCAAAGCTAAGGTAATTTGAACTAACATATCGATTACAAATTCTTTCCCAGATTTCCGCACCGCGAATAGCTATCGAACTGTTTTTCATTCATCACTCTCTCATACCATATGGAGAGAAACAATGTCGAGGAAAATCCGGGGTAAGTTCGAGGGAAGGAAGTACTTGGCATCAAGATAGATTTATGATTACTTGTCGTCGCTCTCTTCTTCTTTGTGCTATGTATGCATGTCTTTCGAAGATATAATCTACCACTGATATTGAAATTATACGGCACAGTACAGATATGATAATCAATCATATCTAGCGAAACGGGCTTGAGAATTTTCTGACTTGTAGAAAATATTGTTTGTATATTCATGCTGGTAATTAATCTTCTTTCATCTCAAGTTCCATCTATTTATCTATAATCCTATCTCTAAACTTTCATAACCTCCTATCTCTGAACTTTCATAACCTCCTCCCTCTACACAATTCCCTCACTCATCGCTCACAATCCCCATCTCCATCTTCAGATGCAACACCATATATATATTCGCCACACAATCCCCTCAAAAACTCCCAGCCATCTCCTTTCCTTTACATCATGAAAACTCAATTCTCTTCGTACCACCCCGATATTAACCAAGTTAGTATCTTGCACTCGGATCTTTTGGTTGGGATAGATGATGGATGATTTTATCAACATAACTTATCAACATAACTTCTTTGTAAGTTTACATTGCTCGAATTGGGGCTGTTCTAAGTAAGTAAGTAGGTAAGTAAGCAATCAAGATTCTCTCCCTCCAACATTCCCCTCCAAGTCAGTATCTCCCCCAAGACGCAATCAGCTACCACCTACCTCCCTTCCGTCTCGCTCAACATCAGGAAGTTCTTCATCGGAACTATTGCAAACCACATCACTTTCCTGCTGCTGCTGCTGCATCACAAAGTCATTTTCTTCTTCTTTTGATATATACTCGAGTACTTATCTCTATTTTTTCATTCCCTCTTTGTCTTATATAGTACATTCTTATAGTATATTCTTATTCCCATTTATCCTCAGTCTCGCGATCACATGGATCCCACCATTATCTCGGGATGCATGTCTCCCCAACAGGAAATACATTGATAATTTGATATTGCTGCTTTGTACTATTTGATTTTTACTAATTACTGCTGGGGGAGGGGGGTTGCTGAATAGGGTTTCGGATGTTTGTGTTTGGATATTTGGATATTTATGTGTATATTGATTGTACTAGTTGTGCTGGTGTCGGTACCGGTGCGGAGGAGTTGGGGTTGAGAATTGAGAATTTGAGGAGAGTGAAGGTGGGATTGGATTGATGATTTTGTTTTTGAGTTTGATAAGGAGCTGGGGTAGGATGGGATGGGATGGGCAGCGAAGTGGAGTGATGCTTTTGTATTGGTTGATTTGATTATAGAGTTGGTGGTTTGTTTGAATATAATGGGTTCATAAGTTAGTGATTGTTGGTGAGACTGCATATGAGGACGATGGGGGAGGATAGGGGAGATTTTGTTGGGGGCGGGATAGATCTATGGTTAGAGGGAAGGTTTTGTAGATTTGGCGG